AGCTGAGTGCTTTTTCTTGTTTGCTTTCCAGAACGATTTTGCTACTTTTTTTTAACCTTCGCTTTAGATTAACCACATAAAATCATTTGACAGGTATCTGAAGAGACTAACTTCCCCATCAAGGGAGATTATTAGCAACATCCTGGTGAGTAAAAAAATCCTGAAAGGGATTAAATAAGAGAAACACTTTCTGAGTCATTAGATGCTAGACAAGTTAAAATACCAGAAAAATACACTGTAGCATTCAATTTGGCACTAGGTAATGACTTAATGGTTCTCTAGATTTCAGATATTCTGTACGGAACATTTAAGCCCTTCTGAGGCCTGATTAGCAAACAGTTTTACTTCGCTTTGCAAAAGAGGATGTAATCAATTGTTAGCTGGAAAATCTCAAAGTGCTTTAGGGTTATTCACGATGCCTGTTTTGTAATTTAGCAATTATGTTGATTGATGGTGAGAGTCCTTCTGTTAAAATTTTTGGATGTGGAGCTAGCGTTTCTCAGAGCTCGTCTACTTACAAGCTAGGTTTTGTTGTTGTTAGTATTCTATAATGCTTGAGAGCATACGCTTTGGGTTTGGAGTCAAATCTCAACTTTATAATTTGCAAGCTGGGCGACTTTGAATATTACTTAACTTCTGTAAACCTGTTTCCTCATCTGCAAAATGAGGACTATAATGCTAGATTTATAGGATTATCGTGAGGTATAATGTAACCAAAGAACGTCTTTTCTCTATCTTCATTCCCTATATCAAGGTCTGGTTTTAGGTATGTGTAGAGGAGGCTGCATGCCTAAATTTTGATTTATGCATTTAATAATGGTATATTAAGCACATACTGTGCTGAAGATATGGCTGTGAACAAGACAAAGGGGTCCCTTCTGTCATGGAATTTACATTCTAATTGAGGGCACGGAAAAATGATCAAGTAAACACACGCATATGTAATAACATTATAGACACCCGTACGTGTGTTGGAGAAAAATGAGGTAGAGTAAGGAAATAGGAAATGAAGAAGGAAGTCAAGGAATGTCTCTTTGAGGGGCTGTTAAAGGAAAACGATCATTTAAAACTTTAGCAGGGCCATCAAGAGATGAATGGGTAAGTAATGGATTTCTTCCCTCAAACACAGATAGAGCTAGGGTACAGTCTAAAGAAATAGAGAATAAGAAAGGGGTACACACTGCTCTGTCTAATAGTGTAACATTTTTCCTCAGGGGTGGACCAGAGAAATCTTTGCAGATTATGCTGCATAATCCTTTTTAACAAGAATTATCATATGGTCCTGGAAGGGCGGACCACAGAGGTTCAGAACCCCCTTCAAGAGAACCCACTATGCAACATAGCTAATTGATGGTCTCGAGCTGTCACACTGTGGGATCTACCTCTGTATTTGTTCTCAGCCAATGCTACCCCTAAGCTATTCTCAGCTGATGACTGAGCATGATGTATGCTAAAACAGGATCATTTGCTGGATGCAAGATCCCTCTAATGGACGATTTGCTCAAGACTCTTCATTGGTCTAGCCAAGACATTTTTTAGAGCAGTACTGTAATCTGAGACTCTTCTTAATCAATTCTTTCTTCCCTCTGTGCTTTCATAGAGGTCAGACCTACATTGCGATCTGAAGGTTCTCTGTTCCTACTTCTCCATCCCTCTCTATCATCCTTCACAGGCATCTTATCCAATCAATCTCTTGTACATCTAATTCTGTCTTGACTTCTCTTTCTCGGAAGATCTGAACAGACACAGTTGGGACTGAGAGTGGTCAGAGAAAACAAGCGATAAGATGAGATCTGCAGGCCAAGACGGATGGTAAGTGAAGTGGACACTCGGCTGGGCTTGTCAATGGGATTAAGGATGGGGCCATGCAGGGTCGCTTAACCATGAGAAGCGAAGAAGCCACAATTACCAAAACAACCAGCGAGGTTGAAAGAGCAGCCAATGGGCTTGACCCACAGTAAGTAGTGGAGATGGTTAATAGACCCTGGCTCCCTTAAGGACAAGATAGACAACCAGCCAACAAGGATGCTCCTTCATCTCTACAAACCAGAGCAGGCAAAAATACAGGAGCAGAAGGCTGATGGAACGCACCCGATAAGAAAGTTTTGATCCCTTTCTCCATTCTCAGGCTTGAGCCAATTTTCAGATATCGATCTAGAACACATGGACTGAAGAGGTGACTGGGGGTGTCAGAGAACGAACCCTGAAATGCCGCAGCAATAGTTCCTGTAGTATTCCCAAATCCTTCCTCCAAAGGGACCTATAGTCACTTACTTGAGTGACTGTACACTGAGGAAAGAGGAATACTCAGACCTTTTGAGGACTTTCGGATACAGGGTCTGGATTGAGAACGATATTCAGAAATCCAAAGCGGTACCATGCCCCTCACCTCCTGCTGGAATGGAGGATTATGGGGGCCAGGAAACAAACCGAATCCTGAATAAAATCCAGTTCCCGGTGGGTCCACCGGGTCCACATACCCACTGCTGGTCATTTTCCCAGCCCCTGAGTACATAATTGAGATGGACATACTTGATGGTCAGAGTGTCCCTACATAAGATCGTGCAGCCTATGGGCTACAAGCTATCATCGTGCGGAGAGGCCAAGCAGAAGTCTCTGAAACGCCCCTCTCCACCCTCCCAGTTAAGGCAGAATTGCAAGCAATTTCACATCCCAGGACAGCCCAAAGACATGCCACCATGAGAAAGCAAAGACGCCAGGGCAATAGTCTGGCTCACGACTTGGTTTACTTCACTGGTCTGAGCCTTGCATAAACCAGCTGGAGCCAGGAAAGTGACTGTGGATTGACTACTGCATGCTCAGCCGAGCAGGAGTCTCAATTTCAGCTGCCGTGCAGGAAGTGCCATTATTGCTATGAAGATAATATTAATAACGCCTCAGGTAAACGGTATGCAGCCACTGATTTGGCAAATGTGGGGCAAGGAGGTTTTCTAATCTTTTCAGAAACAGTTTTGCATTCACATGGAATGAACAGGAACAATCATTTACAGTTTGGCTCCAGGCTTCTGTTAACTTTCCCACTCTGTCACAGTGTCATCCAAAGAGATCTAAAGAGCCCACAGGCCACCATGTGGATCCACCATGTCTATGCCGCCATGCATACAAGAGGTGGCAATTATAATGGAGGCCTTCTTAAAAACTACAGAATAAAACAAAACAAACCATGCTCTCCAGAGGGTGGGAGGTCAACTCTGTGAGAGTCAAGGACCCGCCCCTTAAGTATTGGGGTAGAGTGGTCAGAAGCATGTCCGATGTTCCCTGCAAAGTGAAAAATGATTACTGTGTCTCGTATCCCTTTCTCCAAAGAAGATATCTTTGGGTTATGGAAGCAACAGATTCCACACGGGGTGCTGCTCTGGTCTAAACGCCAGGTCACGCTGAAGGCTGCTTGCTTTGTGGAGCCTGGAGCGGGAAAAGCCTCCGCTGCGGGTCTGCAGTGTGGGACGGGTCCGTGGTGAGGCAAGATGCCATGTGTAGTTCACAGAAACCCTAGTGGGAGAAATGGAACACAGACCCCGGGTGCTAAAGGAAGGCCAGATCATCTGCAGTGGGGCATTATCTGTCTTTTGAGGAGCAGTTCCCCTGGCGGGACTTAGTAAAGATGGAAATGGTACGTCCCAAACCGAAGCCGAGCAGGACCAGAGAACACAGGTAAGCTGTAGGAGCAGGTAGCCCAGATGCCTGTGTCACTCTCTATGGTTACATAAGTACCCTTTCCGCAGCCCATGCCTATGGCCACTGAAGGAAGAGGTGCCATACAAGCAGCCCAAACTTGCACCTGTTTTACAGATTAGTTGGTCATTTGTGGGTATAAGCTGAACTTCCCAGTGGCTCTACTGCAGCCATGTTCAGGGGCGACCTTGAAAGTTAGTGGGGAGGGAAAAAGCATCTTCCTAATGGACAGGGATGCAAGTATGCACCTGGCATAAAAGGAGAAGTAGCCCAAGGTGAGACTATGTAGAGATTTGGGGGCTGAGAGCAGTAGTGTGGCTGGCTGGCCAAGGACGAGAAAGAAAAGCACTGGATTGTCAGACACAGGAGGGCTGGAGTGGAGGCGTGCGGGTGGGCACCTGGGAGATGCACAAACTTCTGAGATTTTTGAATCACATATTAATGCCCACCAGAAAGCATCCTGCCACAGAAGAGACACCGAAGAATGAAGTAGACGAAATGACTGGCCAGTTGATGTTGGCCAGGAAGTGGAGTGATGGGCAGACGAATGGAGTGGCCTCAGTGGCAGACTCAAAGGCTGTACGTGCGTCCAGTGGAATGGACACCCACTTCCCAAGGCAACCTAGCTGCTGCTGACTCTGATTAGTTCAAGAAAGCTCACCCACCGTCTGGCCGTGTTACAGTTTTGGGGGTCCCCTGCCCTTAAAATGCATGCCTCTCTCTCCCCTGGGCAGCTGGTTGTATGCTATACTTCATCTTCTCAAGCTTTGGCCTAAAGAACAGTTGTCCGTTCTTGGCAGGGATATGTTTACGACATATTTGTAGAACACACACCCAGTATTTGAAATTCAACTTTGTGTGATTCTGGTGAGCTCAAATTCTATGAACTCAGACTTTATTTAGAGAGATCTATTAAAAAGAAGGTCCCTTCGCCAAATTACGTGACCGTTGCTGTGGAATGGGCCACCTGGTAATTTTTCTGATCGACCGTTTTCGAAGTTGGTTCCCATCCCAAAATCTCACTCGTTTTGATTTTATCGAAAACCATAAAATCTCATCAACACAATATTGTCAGGAAACCTTTATGATCAAGCCAGGAAAGGTCATTACCCCATGGCACTGAGAGCCAGGCCTCAGTCTGAGTATATCCAATCACTGGCTAGAACAGCTTGGCTCTGTCAGTTTGAAGTGGAAGAATTCAAACCGTAACTCATGGGCTCACAAGGTGACCGCTTGGAACAGCCAGAATGATCTGCCGAAGCACATGGCAACTGGAACAAAAATTGCCTGTTTCTGTCCAACGGGAGAAACGTTTTGAAAGGTGTTCCGCCTGGACCTGATGGCACTGTTTCATTGGCATTTTATCCTGTCTACCACTTGGGGACAGCTTCCAACCTATCTTTTTGTTTTGTTTTTTTCTTTGCAGTGAACAATTTATGATCAGTAAATCATTGAAAGGATGAGTTTATCTGGAGGCGATGAGTAGAACATTCGATTATTTGACTATACCCATAATGTACGTATTAGAGTATACAATGGCATTTTATATTATACATATTTAATTAGAATTGAAACATGAGATATATTGTGCTGTGTTGAAATAGGTAATGAATGGGAAGAGAAAAGCTTCCTAGGGCTAACTTTAGACTATAGATTTTAAATTAATTTTGTTCCTAGAGGTGAACAAATAGGTATGGGATAAATCTTTGGCAACTCTTGAGGGACATTAAAACTATCCAGTTATCATCTCTTTTCCTCAAGGAGGCGCACATTGCTTCCAGACCAGGATGGAAGTGACCCGCAAGAAAATACTGGGTCCATATTACAGAAAGCCTTCAGAAAAAGCTTTGGGTATACGATGGTGACACTTCCCTGTTAAGGGTCCTTCTCAAAATGATTTTCCAATTAATGTATATTAGAACAATGCTCACTCTATCATAAAGCCAGTTTCCATATAGCTGGCATTATGGACTGAATGTCTGCGTCTCCTCAGAATTTATATGTTGAAAGCCCTCACCCCCTTGGAGAAGTCTTTTGCTCTGGTGGGGCCTTTGGAGGTAATTAGGGTTAGATGAAGTCATAAGAGCAGGTCCTCACGATGGAATTAGTGCTTGTATAAGAAGAAACCAGAGACCTCTCTCTCCGCCATGTGAAGACACAGCAAGGTGTCTGTCTGCAAACCAGGAAGTGAGCTCTTGCGACATCGAATCTGCCAGCACCTTGATCTTGGACCTCTGGCCTCCAGAACTGTGAGAAATAAATGTTTGTGGTTTAAGCCACCTAGTCTATGGCCTTTGTTATAATAGTCCAAGCTGACTAAGGTACACGAGTTTATTTGGGACACTCTATTCTATTCTCTTGATGTTTATCTCGGCACTAATACTACACTATTATATTTTACGAAAGCCCTCTCTGATAAGATGTATCTTCTTATCTTGATGTTTATCTTATTTTATCTTATCTAAAAGAGTGTCTTATCTCTTCTTTTGCTTTTCTTTGTACATAATCTGGGGATAGTTTTAGGTTATCCAAATAAGCAATAGTATCATTGCAATTAATGACAGTTTTATCTTTTCTATTACTATACTTTTTAATTACTATACTTTTTAACTTATTTTTTCCTATATTACAATATTGACTATAAATGGAGACAGTGGGTATCCTTGTTCTTCTTGATCTTAAAAAGAATAGTTATATGATTTCATTATTGTTTTTTATGTTTACTATTGGTTTCTCATATCTACTTCATATCAATTTAAGAAAGGTCCTTTATATTCTCATTTTTCTAAAAGTTTTTATAATAACATGTTGACTTTTATAAAATGTTTTTTCTGTATCTATTAAGCAGACCTTATGCTTTTCTCCTTTAAGGTGGTAAAATGTTAAGTTATGTTAATTAATTTTAATATTAAAATAATCTCGTGTCCCTGAGCTACATATACCCAACATTTATCATCCTTTTATATGTTTGTAATACATATGTATGTTTTAAAAATATATTGCTAGATTTGTGTAGTGCAGCAAGGAAACATATGGCTTCCATCTCCGGGAGCATAACGAAGTGATGGTCCCAGCTGACAGGAGCCATGTCTGTGGGGAGTGGTACTAGCTTTTCTCTCACAGCACCCCCATTCCGAATGCCCAGGTTACACCCCAGTCAGTCAGCCACGGAGAAACGTGTTCTCCCAGCTTTGTCTTTCGGAGGGCGTTACAGCCCACTCAGGTCTTGCTCACTGGCCTTCACAGCACAGTGCTAAGGATTCTTGTCTGAGGACTTTAGACCTTGTGCAAGGATAGCAGGCCCAGAGGAGTGACCATGTCAAGTGGACCAGGTGCCACCGCCACTGTAGTGAAAGCTCTCTGCGGCAGCATGGAGCCAGCCTGTCCCTGTACTTTGGAAATAGTTTTAGATTGTAATGATGGAAAACACAGGTAAGTTTTATTTCTTCCAGCTATTCAATGTCAGAGAGAGCCCTTTGTGCCAGATAGGGTCAGTGGAACCAAAAATAAATTTCCCAAGTCAAAATATTATGTTCTCAGTTCTGTACCCTCTTTTTGCTAAAAACTCTCTCTGTGTTAATAAATACCACAACGTTCCTTAATGTGACCAGTGCTCCAGTATGCAGTAGCCAAAACCACGTTGCCATGGCAATCCCCGATGTGCCTTCATCTCCATTTTGATGTTTTTGAGCCTCAAGTCACCTTTCACTCCTTCCTGATCGTCACTATTATGGTGATCTATGCCTCACCTGGCCAGTTTCTCCTCAATATTTCCAATCAATCCAGCCTACATCCCTGTCCGGGAACCAGCATTGACAGCTTCAGTGTTTTATTTCTGAACCTGTCGAAAAGAAGCAGGGGGAGGGCTTGTGGGACAGTGTGTATCAAGTCTATGGCAGTGGACAGAACGTCCTAGGCCTTCGCATCACTCACAGCTCGCTCGCTGACTCACCCAGAGCAGCTTCTAGTCCCGCAAGCGCCGTGCATGGTAAGTGCCCTTGACAGGTGTATCATTTTTTTAAATCTTGTATACTGCATTTTTACTGTAGCTTTTCAATGCTTAGATATGCAGATGCCATTGTGTCATAATTGCAGTATTCAATACAGTAACATGCCGTATAGTGTGTGGCCTGGGAGCAATAGGTGACATCGTTAAGTGACAATTGACTGTAACTGGTTTCTTTATAAGAAGAGATTCGCTAAGGAGAGAGGCCTCAGAAGGAACTCACCCTGCCAACACCTTGATCTTGGACTTCTAGCCTCCAGAATGGTGAGAAAATAAATTTTCGTTGTTTACACCACCCAGTGTGTGGTATTTGGTTAAGGCAGCCCGGGAGGATGAATACAGACCCTTGATTTAACTGGAGTCTGGCAGGTTTGGAGAGAGAGCCTTCTTGCAGGCATAGCTTCTGCTTTATCCTTCCTTTCAGGAAAACGAGAGCGGACGCTGGTGCCCTCCCAGCTCCTCTCTCCCACCCCAACACTGCACACACCCCTACTCCCTTGGTCTTGCAACCTCAGAAGAGAGATTTAGTTTCCTCGTGCCTTCGAGGCTGGTCATGGGAAGGTGGATCCTACATGAGGCATGCTATAACTAAATCAGACACTTATTTCGTTCACAAACCACCTCTTCCATCTGTCACTACCATGAGAAAACTTCGCGGGACTTAATTTTCACATTATTTCCATGGACTTCGCAATCCCCTTGGTAACTCTTTTCAGACTTACACTTTATGTCATCATTTCCTTCTCCCCGTCCCCTACTATTTTTTAATATCCTTTAATCTTGGATTAATGTTGTACATAAAAGAACCAAGCATTAATCTTTGCTTCGCCATAGGTGGTGAAAACATCATTTCCTTTTATTACTTTTTCAAAATGGAAGATAAGGAAAATGCTAACAGTATAATTAAAGATAAAAATAAAAAAGACTTCAATAGATTTGAATTCCTATGAGGTGGGCCCTGCCGGGCTTTTCATTAAGGGCTAATTTCTGACAGTCACAGATAAGGCAGGCCAGCTCATCTTTTCCATTTCAGGAAAGTGATTTTAGAAAGAGTCGTGAGGAAATTTTAAGAGTGGAGAGCGCACTAGTCTCAAAGTATATAGGCATATAAGTTGTCATCCTAGTTCATTTTCTGCTGAACTAAGCTATGGCTTTGATTTTATTTTTGAGTAAAGGATCATATGCTTGAAGAAAACCGACGTGGGGCTGGTGTCTTCCCTGGGTGATCCTAAAAGGCCAAAGGTAGGTAGAAATGAGAGAAGAAATAGGGTTAGGAGGCCAAGGGTCATGTGGCCAGAATAGCTAAAGAACAGAAAACAAACCAAGAATCAAATAGAAAAAGTGTCTTAAGGCCTTAAAGACTTGGATGTTTGCTCTGGTAATGCTGATGATGCCATTTAACATGTCAGTTATTCAGATATGGGAGTGGGGGGAGGGTGTTGAAGGCAGAGACACTCAAGGAATCTCAGCAAGAATACCCTTTCCTATAAGATTCTGCTAGGAGTAGGATGACCAGATATAATCTACTGTCCAAATTAGTACACTTATGAGTCTGAAAGGGGCCACTATTAATAAGTAAGCCTAACCCTAAGGAAACTAGGGCGGAACGTCACCTTAGCTAGGGGTCACATCCCTCCCTAGCCAATCCTTTCTTTACTGATGTGGTGCCTGCAGTAATGAAAATGATGAAAGTCACAGCTAACATTATAAAGTCACTTGGCACAGTACCTGGTACGTGGGCAGGCTTTGCATGAACTATCTCTCTATTCCCCTCAGGAACTCTGAGGAGGAGACGCAAACAATACCTAAAAATTACAACAAATGCCAACCACATCATTCCAGGAGAGGGGATTCATAGCTATATAAGAAATTGGGACTTCAAGAAGTTCAGGAATTTACCGAGTTTTACTCCAGAATGCACAATCGACCATCACAGCTTCGTCTCTAGGTAAGACCTTCTCTCTTCTAATTTACCTACACTCCGTCCTCCTAGAGCCTATTCAGTCAGCTTTTCAGGACTATACTTCATTCTCATTGCTCCGGGTTTCGAAAGCTTATTAGACTTAGCATCATTTCACCACATATTTAGGGGAAAGGGTAGGAATTTCCTTTTGTGTCTGACATTCCTCAAATACAAAGGTCTTTAAAAACATCTATATCTATAGGTAGATATAGTTAGATATCACATATATAGATATTACACAAAGAAAAGCAGACTAGTTTCACATTGAGACTGCATGTTGCTAATGGAAGATACAGCCGTTGTCTTATGCTTCAATTCTTAGTGGAGTTTGTGCTATTCATACGTTTATATACCAAAAAAAAGTTTTCATTTTTTAAAATTTTGTTAGGGTGACATTGGTTAACAAAGTTATATAGGTTTCAAGTGTACGATTCTATGACTCATCATCTGTATATTGCATTGTATTTACCACCCAGTCAAGTCTCCATCTGTCTCTATGTATTTGACCCCTTTACTTTCTTCATCCTCCCCCACCCCCTTCCCTTTGGTACTGTTGTCTGTGTCTGAGTTATTGTCTTATTTGTACCTTTCAGTTTTATATTCCACATGAGTGAATTCATATGGTTCTTGCCTTTTTCTGTCTGACACAGTATGGTTAGCAAAATAAGTCAAATGGAAAAAAATTTTCACTTTATCAAAGTTTTAATTTTAGGAAGTTTGTTTGTTAGAACTGAAATTACCCATCTGAACTCATTTCATGAAAATATCTATCATTTTTGCACAAATTATTTTTATAGCATTTATTTGTAAATTAATTGAAAAAGTGAAGTCTATCTAAAATGACCAAACTAAGAACTATACAAGTTTAATTTATAAGTTGACCTAAACTTGATTTTTGTGGCAAACTAACCAATAGGAAAAAAATTTTTTAACTCAAACACAGCCTCATAAAATTTAGAGAATCGTACATATATTATCAAATAAGACACCGAAACAGATTTCAAAGATTTATTGAAGCAGAGACACATTGGTCAGATACTTGTTGGAAAAAAGCAGTTTGAATGGTATTCAAAAATACTTTTTAAAAAGTATTCTAGCACAAGACTTCTTCATAAACTAGATTACGTTGTAAACTTTTTTCTAAATCTTTTAGGAGTGTTGGTTCTTAAGAACTAGAGCTTATTTCTATTTCAAATCTATCTTGCGCTCCTGAAAAACTGCAGAAAGGCACTTAAAAGCTGTTTCTTTAAGAAATGAATTTCTTTTTTATTGTTGCTGGTAATAATATTGCTGCACCAACTCTGTGCAATTTTCACTCCAGGTCATCGTGATGCTGAGAAGTTTCATTGATAACCTGTTAAAAAAAGGTAAAATTCAAATCAAATATAATCCTACATGCTAAAGATGAAATTACCCCAGTAAGTGTGACAAAGAAAAACCCTACTAATTATATGTAATTTACTGGGAAACTTGGAAAGTTATGTTTGTTCTGCATGACGAGGGTTACAACTGAGATTATTCCGGTTTTGATTTAAAGATACCAACCTGTCCATCTCTAGTTTCAACCGTCTTAATCAGAAGTGTCCTTTTTGAGTGGGTGTCAACCAGAGGGAGCGAATCCAGATTGGTTTCTGAATAAAGAAAACGA